ACGACGCTCGACGTGGGAAAGCCGTGCAATTGGCGAGAGAGGAAAAGCTCACAGCAGATAATAAGGCTCTGGCTGAGAAGATGGCTAGGCTTGAAAAGCATATTGGGAGTCGATTAAACAACTTCGAGTAAATTGTGGGGAAGGTAGCCGAGGCGGTCAATGTCGACGCCAAGATGTACACGTCGCACGACCACCCGTTCACAGAAAATATTATCCGGGTGCCGCTCCCATACAAGTATAAATCGCCCCTCATTCCGCTATATGACGGAAGGAGTGATCCGAATGACCACTTGGAGGTGTACACATGACATATGGTCCTGCATGGATACCCCGAAGAGGTCATGTGTCGAGCATTCAGGAATCACCTTTCTGACTCCGCGAGGAGATGGTTCAGATCTTTGAAGCCAAACTCCATCACCAGTTGGGATGATTTGAAGAACGCCTTTTTGACTCAGTTCATAGGTGTAAAAAAATACATCCCACCTAAACAAAACCTCTCAAGGGTGTACCAGAGGCCTAATGAGTCCCTGAAGGACTGGATAGCCCGGTTTGGGGAGCAAGTCGCCGCCACTGAGGGAATCTCTGATGAGGTGGCCTTGATGGAGGCGCTGTCAAGCATGAAGAAAGATATTCCCTACAGCACAGACCTCGACCGGAGACCGCCCCATACCTACCAGGAATTCCTAACGAGGGCACAAGGGTTCATCAATGCCGAGGAGGCTAAGAAGGCCTTGAAGAGCAAGGTGCCGACCCCTACCAAGGAAGAGGTAGGGCAGGCGAGCAATCAAAACAATGGTAAGAAGCGCCGAGGTCTCCCTCAGGTGCAAGCCGAGTAGAAGTATAACCCGGCTCCGAGTAATAGAGGCGGCAACGCCTCGACGAGCCAAGGGGAAAACAAGCGACCAAAGCCGCAAAGGTACGATGCCTATACACCCTTGACTATGGGGATCGAAGATGTCTACCATGAGATCAGTCACCTCCAAGTCCTGCGTCGACCACTGCCGTTGAAGTCCGACCCAGCGCGGAAAAACCAAAATAAGTACTATCAGTTTCACGGCGAGAGTGGGCATACTACGGCTGAATGCTATGACCTGAGGGATGAGGTCGAGAGGTTGATCCGAGAGGGGAGGCTCAGCGCGTACCGAGCCGACCGTCGGAACAATAACAACAGACGCAACAATGACCGATGGGAAGAGCAGAGGCATGACAACCCTCCCGAACCGGTCGGTGTTATAAGAACGATCTTCGGGGGACCATACCTCGGCGGCACCTCTCGACGTGCCCATAAGGAGTACGCTCGAGAGGCAAAAGAAAAGTTCAGCCAGAGGATTATGAACGTCTCCGGCCGCGAAGCTAAGGCAGCGCGATACGAGGATACTGAGATCACTTTCTCAGAGGCCGACGCGAGGGGGTACATTTCCTCCAGAGTGATGCCTTGGTCGTCGAAGCCATGATCAGTAACCATACGGTTTGCCGTATCCTGGTCAACAACGGTAGCTCCGTGAACATCTTGTACTCGGGCTGCCTCGACAAGATGGGGATCCCCCGCGCAAGGCTGCAAAACAGTGCACAACCCTTGTACGGTTTCACAGGGGACAGCGTCATCCCGGAAGGGGTGATAGAGCTGCCCATGACCATCGGAGACCGACCACACACCTCGACTATCATGTCAAAGTTCCTGGTGGTGAAGGGAGGTGACCAATATATTGCGGTCATAGGGCGCCCGATGTTGAGGGCCTTGAGGGCAGTTACATCCATCTACCACCAGATGATGAAGTTTTTGACTCCCAATGGAATCGGCAAGGCCCGAGGAAACCAGTATGAGTTAAGGCTTACGTACTCAGAGATGGTCCGCCACTATGCCGAGCCGACCCAGGTACGGAGGGAGTTGAGAATGGTCGAGACAAGGGCAGAAGAATACGATTTGGATCCAAGGTTCCCAGGAGAAGAGACCAGAATGAGACCAGTCGGGGAATTGATCGAGGTCCCCATCGATGAAAGAGAGCCAATGAGAACGCTAAGGGTGGGCTCGGAGCTGAGGGCGTAAGCCCGCGCAAGACTGGTCGAGTTTCTCAGAGGAAGCCTCGACGTGTTCGCTTGGACCCACGAAGACATGGAAGGGATAAGCCTGACTGTTGGTCTCCGGATCGAATCCGGATGCGGAAGCGTGGTGGTGCGGGGGGAAGAGGCGGATCGTGTATAACAAAAATTTTCATACAACTTTTGAGATACTCTATAGATTATATTAATTTATGCACGAATAAATTAATCTCATTAATTCATTTATTAAGAACTCAATCAGGAAAAATACTTGGAAGCCGACTCGGATGATAACTTGAGTTCTTTGACCACAAATAGTCCTCGCTCCAATCTTTGTGTTTAGAAAACCAATGTGTTCCACTTCAATTCCTAGAATCCACGAAGACGTGTGTGTGGGCACACATAAGACAAAACGGGTTACAATAAGCACTCGAATTTCCACAAACACCATCGCATGCACGATGTGGAATTTTTGGAGAAAAATTTTTCATTCCTTTCTCTCTTGAGAATTTCGGCCAGCCTTAACTTAGGGCTGAAAAATTGTTTCCAAAATTTCTATAGAGAAATTTCGGCTACCTCTAAAATTAGGGCAAAAAACCATTCCGAAAATTGTCTCAAAAATAGTATTTATAGAGTAGAAGTCAAAACTTCTAGAAGGAATTCAATCTCTATCTCTAAGATAAAGCTTGTTAATTATCTCCTATTT